CAGAGGTACAATATGCATTAAACAGTTCCACTTTGACTTTATCAGTACATGAACCGAATTTACGAGCAAGGGTGTTAGCTTGAGCATACAACAATCTACATTGTCTGCAAATATCATCATCGTCTGACAGATTTTCTGTGATGATGTGCCCAAGATACTTGGTTTTGTTTGTTACACCCAGCACAGTATTTGCCAGCAGAAAATCTGGAAACTCAGTAGATTTATCTTCCTTACTCCTACAGATCATGATCTGTAGGAGTAAGGAAGATAAAAACTCCTCATATGAGGAGTTTTATTTAAAATAAAGATGCAAACTATTCTCCAGCGCAGGTTTTTTCAGTAGATACGTGGTTGGAGGAGAGACACACAGCAGCACTCTGTGAATTTAACCAGCAGCTACTTCTATATATGTTCAATCAATCAATCAAAATCTGTTCTTTAGACATACAGAGCTTTTTCAGCAGCAGCTTGTAAGTTTATTCAAGCTGTATTATAGTTTAAATGTTGTGTTCTTCTTTACTATAAAAGCTTGCAGACTGCAGAGCTTCTACGGATCTAGAAATGTAGTTTCTGGCATCATTCTACTATTAAAGAGGTTCATAAATCTTTCTAAACAGAGCAAAGAGAGAGAAGTAGGGAGAGCTGCAGATTTAGAGGTGAAACAGATTTACTGGGATATGCAACATGCAATAAAATATATCTCCAAGTTTACCAGAAAGTTTACAAGAAAAAAAAAAATGCTAAATTTAAAATGCGGCATATAGAAATTGTTAATCCTAGGGATGCATGATTTATCGATTTTGGCATCAGAATCGGCTGTTATTTGTTTTGTTTTTTTAATACATTAACGTTTTTGGGCTCTATATATATATATATATATATATATATATATAATGCACTGAAAGGCATCTCTCTAACATCTATAAATATAAATATCAGTGTATTGTGGTTGTCTTGTGTTCTTAACAATAGGAAAGCATCGGGTGGAGTATCTGTAGGTCCATCAGCCCCCACCCTTAAAGTGCCCCCTCCAACTTTCACCACTTAGTTACACGCTTGCTTTTCAATCATATTTAAATGTTAATTTTTGCTGTACCATTAAAATACGAAACTAAAGCTTCTGATGTTTAACTGAACTGATGCTAACAGAGAAATGTTATGTCTGCTTTTGGAAGAACGTTTATGGGACGGAGCAGAAGACGAAGCCTCATGATGATGATGGAGTTTAAATTGGCCTTTAAAGACAGAAAGCAACCCTTTTAGAACACCTGAGTGCATTTTGTGTTTGATGAGAAAACAAGCTGCTGTGAAGCTTTTTCACCAGATGATTGAATCAGAACTTCTGTCCTGAACTCAGCCTGATTTCCTCCTGCTTGCTTATCTGGCTTTGATTCATAAGAAAAACAAACAGTGATGGACGTCTGAGTAGAAATCAATATAAAGACGACTCCAGAGGAAAACTAATGGGCGTGGAAAAAAATACAGCCTTCCAGCTAAAAGTCTCTCTGACCCAGAAAATCGACCATTTAAGGTGTTGCTGTTTGAGTCTAGAACCTGTGTGGTCTGGATTTCTATCATCAGCTAAAATAACTGACACCTAATCGCTCGCAGAGTCTCTTCCATCTTTTTTTTCCCTACTGCCTTTTTATTTTAAACTACCTGTTTGTAAACTTAGCAACTGTTTGCTAGATTTAATTTAATTTGAACTCTTTTTGAATCCTTTATTTGTACCTTTATAATATCTATTTTCAGTTTACTAGTTTTTCGTTTTCCTTTCATTTTTAGAGAGTAATTTAGCCTTAATCCAGAAATTGAAGTATTTTGTGAATAACTTCTTGCATTTTAGTGAAGTTAAATAATTTTTCCCGTGTTCGTGTTTGGCTGCTGTTTGATTTCCGTAAATTAATTCCTTCCTTCGTCTGTAGTTCTTTAATACCGTATCTCACCAGGCAGGTATTTATTATTATTAGTAAAGACTGACAGCCATCTGGGTAATAATTCCTGGTAATCATTTGTTTCCCTAATTTATTATTTTAAGGATTACAGCATGCATTAATAAATGACCTTTGACACGTAACCAAACTAAACCTACAGTCAAACAGTTAACTTCCTGTTGCAGAACAAGGATCTCT